GACAGATCGGAGTTTGTTTTTGTCTCTTTGTTTGAGACGTGTGAGGTACAGAGTTGTTTCTACACAAAGACAAACACAGGTTAAAAGCAAGGATAAAGAAGAAGTTCTAAAACTTTATCTTTCTAGCTTTTTTCTTAGTCCTTAAGCTCTCCTCTTGTTGTTTTATGGTCCTCGATTTTTTTTTGAAACTTTTATGGTCCTCAATTACGATGCTTTGATTCTAAAAGATCGTGTAACTTTTGGCTATATATATCACATGAAGGCCAAATTTTATATCCTTTATTAAAAAAATGGTTTTGGTACTGTATTAGTTGTAGTAATTTGCACTGTTCATGTGGAAATAAGTAAGTTACTGTATACTCTATATTTGAAGTCCTTTAAAGTTTCTTAGGCCGAGCCTGATCCAACTTATTAATCTTTATTATTATTATTATTATTATTATTATTATTATTATTATTATCTTAATTAACAACTAGTGGACGGCCCCTCACTCCCAGGCCCGCGAAAAACAAGGCCCGATGCGGCCCGTGAAACGCAACTAGACAAGAATTTTCGGCCCGAAATGAACCGTGCTTTTCTTTCGGCCCACAAAATGTTCCGATCATCCTCATCACCGACTCGCCCTCGCGGCCGAACGAAATCCAACTCTGGTGCGCTTCTAGGTGTCTTTGTGGCGGAGTCCGTCGTATATATGCACTGTGCCACCGTCCACCCTCCCTCTCTCCCCGATCTCCCCTTGTCCGGCGCCGCTATGCCTCCCGCCTGGGTCTTGCTCAACCGCTGCGTCGACTACAGCTTCGAACGACGACGATGAACCGTCGTGGTCGACTGCGGCGGCGGCGGAGTTCATTAAGAGCAAGTGGGGAGCCAAGGCAGCATCATCCATCGCACCCCATTACCATGCCACGGTCGCCATGCTGATGGGCTCCTTGAAGCCAGCAGACTACCCGTACCGCCCGCGCATGGAGAGGAGTCCCGCTCCGCCGCCTGCGTCGGCGGCCGCATCACGGTCGTGACCATGGTGGGTGACCATGGTCGGCCACCAGTACAGGCTCACCACCTGGACCCTGTCGCCTGACCTCAGCGGGTGGCAGGAAGACGGCGTGTTCCCGCTGGATGACCTCTGGGCGACGCAGGAGTACCGCGCGCTCGGCCTGCCGGCGCACACGCCACTCTGCCCCGTGCTGAGCGGCGCGCGTGATGAGGACGGTGTCGTCATTCGTCAACGACATCGAGGAACGCGCCGTCGTCCAGCAGGGTATTCGTCCGGTTGTTCTGGGGACCGAGCTGAAGTTCAGACGCCAGTTTGTGCTTGGCATCGACGTGCGCCGCAACAGGATCGTCTCCACCAGCTCTGGTGTTCCGCCGGAAAGCCTGATCCAGATGACGCCCCGCCTCCTTCCTTTTGATTTCTGCGCTTCCCTGCACGGCGGTGCAAAGGACCGCCAGGTAATGGCTGGCAGTTCTCTGCCTTGTCTGTCATAATCTAGTTCAGTTCAAATTCACAAGCAAAGTTTGCCTATTAGCTGGCCTGGCCAGTTCTCTCCACATTGGAACTGATGTAGCTCAGATTGGTGCAAGCCTTGTCGATCTATCGCTAGTCATGGTTTTGGAATAGACAGTATCAAACTGAATTTTAATTATAGAGCTCAGTCTCTCCAACACCATGAAAACATTGCTACTTGTTTGAGGACATTTCTTTTGTATAGCTTTTTGTACTAATTAAGCTAGTTGTGGAATACTAGATAATATCAAACTGAGAATTTTAGTTAGAGCTAAATCTCTCCCACACCAGGAAAACATTGTTTCTTGCTTTAGGACAATTTTTGTATAGAGGCTGCGTCTCAGTTTAACGATCTGTCCAGAAAATTAATTCCAGAGTTGGTATGTATCTAAGTTTTCGACTGATTCAGCCTGTAGGCGTTACTAGTTTAAAGTTTAAACTACTCCCCTCTGTCCAAGTTTGATAAACATATATAAGCCCCAAAAAGGTTTTGAGAATTGATAAACACGTGATGCTTAGCAGCTACTACACACCTAGGTCAGCTAGGTGCTAGTTTTACTCAGGTCATCAATAAGGTATGCCCCAAGCAAATACGCTGATCATAGATGGACAGAGGGAGTAAAACAGAACTAAAAAATTGTTGCTATATATCTAAAGTATGATTGTTTGCCTATGTAACAAATGAACCTGTTCTGAATCAGTTATTTTACCTCTTGAAAAAAAAACTTAATTAGCAATATGCCATCATGGGGAAAATACTGCAGAATAGGACATATATGAAACCTTGCATTTCTGTCATCCTATATTTTACTATTGTAGCTGCTGTTCACTGGCTCTTTGTTTTCTTAACTAATTGTTTTGATTTTCATCTTAAAAAGGAGAGATTAGTTCTAATAGAGGCGGAACCAGTGATTTTGATTAAGTGGGGCCAAACAAATATGATCGCATTTTTTAGTGTGATAAAATATACATAATTATATGTTTCAACAGTTTTTTAAATATTTTACATTGTTTATAACCAAAATCGTAATATTTTAATAAAAAACGGTTTGAAAATTGATGTTTTTTATTCTGTAAATTCAAATATGTATATAGGCATTAACAAAGTCTACTGTGCTTTCAAGCTTTTTCTGGTGTTTTGCAAGTGTTCAGACATATGCTGCAAGTGTTTCAGCTGTTTCGGATGTATGTTGCAAGTGTTTTATCTGAATGTTGCAAAAGTAGATCGAATGTTGCACATGTTGACTGTGATCCACTTGCCACGTGCGCCTGCTGCAGCTGCTAGGCGCGCTGCCGAGCGAGCAGACGGTCCTCACATGCGGTCTAGTGGCGCGAGAGACATCCGGACGGTGCGGGCCTCATGTGTGCATGCGAAACAAGCAAGCGCGAGAAACGTTGTGCGGGGGAATGGGCTAGCACGAGCGGCGTCCGGACGTCCACCGTCTCCGATTTTTTATATTTTATATCCTGCTTAAATTTGTGTTTAAAATTTGGAAAAAAAAATTGAGAAAATATCAGGTGCAAACCAATCAACCTGTGCAAACTTAGAAACTAACAATCAGGACCACTAGATGCTAATCCAACGGATGTGGTGAGGGAGCTTAAGCGCAAAAAAAAGAGCGGTGGGTGGAGGGCTTAAGCGCAAAAAAATTCCACCTCTTACCTCATCCATTAGATAAGCATCTAGTGGTCCTGATCGGTAGTTTTTAAGTTTACACAAGTTGATTAGTTTGCACTTGATACGTTGCCGGCTTAAATAGCCCCAATATATTTTTTAGGGGAAAATAGGCCCAGCATATAAATGATAAACCTTGGGAACTAACAACGTGTTGGGTCATAGCCTACCTCAATCCACAGAGTTGAAGCCCACGTCGGTCCACGAACATAAGAACGACCCTTCTTCTCTAACCTTCTTCCCCTGCAAGCCTTCAATCCATCTCTTTCTGGATTTCTCTCTCTCCTCCTACGCGCGTTCCCCTCTCCTCCGAGAAAATGGGAATTTTGCCCTAACGGGGAGTGACCTTCGTCCAAATGCCATTAAATTTGTGGGCTTCGTTAAAATGCCCTTATGAAACGAGTCCAACACGTTATAATGCCATTTTGAGATTTAAGTCCACTTTTAATATTTTTCACCCAAAATTTTAACATGAACTGGCCATTTTGCCCTTTACTCATTGACCCATGCCCCTTTTGGCCCTGTTCGGCTTACCCCATATTCGGCTTGTTCGGCTTCTTTTTTCAGCTGGAACAGTGTTTTTCTCTCACAACAATTCAGCCGGAACAGTGTTTTCAGCCAGTTTCAGCCAAGTTTCAGACCAGCGAACGGGGCCTTTATCTCTCCTCTTCTCGTTCTTTCGCTCGCACCCTAGGCAGAGCGCCACCGCCTGAGCCGCCTTCCCCTCCTCAGGGTCATCGATCTTTCTTCTTTGTGGTCGACTGACGCGCTCGAGGCGGGCTGGTTTGGTTGCCGCCATGTGCCATGAACGGGGGCGCCGGGGCCGGGCGTCTTGGCTCAAGAGGCATGGCGTCATGTCGCCGCCGCCATTGGGGCCAAGCGCTATGCGGCGAGGGGCAAGCCGGGAGCGGCCGAGCTCGAGAAGACGCCGCCAAGCCGCGACGTCGTCCTCGTCCTTTAAAACGCGAAGCAACGCGCTCCTCCTCTTTTTCTCTCTCTCTCGCTTACCACTTAACGAACTCGGCCGCAGGCCGGCGAAATTCGTCATGGCCACCGCTTATCTCCGCCCAATTGCTCGCACCCACGGCTTCGCATCATCCTTGCGCACCTCCTTGACCCAGCTGCAGCGGTCCTAGTCACCAGAATCAGCCGTGCGCTCGATTCCCGCCGCGGCCGTCCACCATGGCCATCACATAGGGGCCGCCGTGCGCTCGCCTCTCCCATTCACCTCCGCCCAAGCTGGCCATACCCTCGCTTACCCCAGCTCGCGCCGCACTTCCCGTGCCCCTCCTCCAATCACCACCGTCACCGGAGCACCGTCTGCAGCAGCGATACCCAAGACGTCGGGTACCGTAGTCTTGCAGACGACGCGTGGCCGGATGGCTACCACCACCTCCGATCACGTGGGCACTGTGGTGCGTCCGGGCATGGAGATGCCCCAGCACCTCTCCCTCGCCGCCGATGAGCATCAACTGCCCCTGGCGTGGATGGGCGGCTTGGCTGGGGCCGCCTTCGCCTGGGTAGGGCACGAGCGAGAGAACGAGAGGGGGAGAGATGAGAGGGCAGGGCTCAATGAGCTCAGGGGCAAAATGGTCAGTTCAGGCTAAAATTTTGGGTGAAAAATATTAAAAGTGGACTTAAATCTTAAAATAACATTATAACGTGTTGGACTCGTTTCATAAGAATATTTTAGCGAAGCTCACAATTTTAATAGCATTTAAGCGAAGCCCACTCCCGTGAGGGCAAAATTCCTATTTTCTCCTTCTTCCTGGCCCGCCTTCCCGCTCTCCCATTCCCCGCACGCGGTCCAGACCCCAACGATGCGGCCCCCCAAGAGCGCCGCGGCGCCCCCGGCGTCCCTGACGAGCCCCAAGTCCTGCGCCACCAAGCGGCAGCGGAAGGCGGCGGCAGCGGCGCCGCTGGGCGACGTCACCAACCTCCTCGTCGTCGCTGAGACCCCGACCCCGAGCAAGCCCAGGAGGACCGCACGCCGTGCCCTCCCCGCGCCGCCCTCCGTCGTCTCCGCGGTCTCCTCCGCCTGCTCCTCCTCCGCCTCCGTCACGCCCGCGCCCAAGCCTTCCGCCGCCGCCTCGGCCACGCCCGTGCCCAAGCCTTCCTCCGCCGCCTCGGTCACGCCCGCGCCCAAGCCTTCCTCCGCTGCCGGTGAGTGAAGCTACGGCGCCGATTTGTGCTCGATCCGCTGCAACTGGCTGTGGTAGGCTAGTACTTCGATCCGCATTGGGCTGGGATTTCTAATCCTGCGTCCTCCTCGTTTGCAGTCCTCGAGGAGGAGCGCAGCGTGCTCAAATCGCCGGCCATCTCCACAGTTCACCGCAGGACCACCGAGGCTCAGGGGAGGTGGAGGAGGAACCCCGCCGCCGCCAACAGCAAGGGCAAGGAACCTGTTGCTGCCACGGCGAGGTGCCCGCCTCTTTGGAAATCTGCAAGGACCAACAGCAGGTGTGGTTACTTACCTTGCCTTGCCTGGCCCCAGTACATGTCATCTGCGTTGGTGTATGTTCAATTCAGCCTCGTCTGTGTTAACTAGAACACTGTAATACTCGATGTCTTAATGCTTGCATTGCTTGTTGCAAAAGGATTTAGAGTAGTGATATAGAGTAGAAGAAGTGGTGTTGTGATGTCTTGTATTTCGGACACAACAAACTTACCATATATCAGTCTCAGGACTCACACTAACAGGATATTCAGAAGTCAGCACTATATAGGGATCCTTTAGTCCATCTTGTTTCATTGATACCTAACAGTTACAGTCTGAGTGCATTTCGTTTACTGAACTATTGAATTTCACTAATCTTTCAGGAAAAAGGATACTCGGCCCATCTCTGCATCAGCTCCTTGTCATGAAGGTAAAAAGGTAAGCAGGGCCACAATGTGAGTGTATTTTCCTCATAATGACCCTACCAAACTTTCTGTTGTTAAGGCGTGTACCATTGTGCTCTATTCATGGGTCTACACAGTGAAATGCCATTATGCTTACAGTCAGAAACTCATGATTTGGTTCAAACTCTATCATGTGGTAGTATTGAATCAACAGAGCTGGCCCTGAAATAAGGCCTGTGATCTGTTAAAGTTTCACTCCTGTTCTCCTTTACATAAATGCATCCATTCTGGAACAATTATGCGAGCCATATATAAATATATGATGAGATAAATGTTTGAAGGTTAGATACTGCAGTTTTATAGTACACTTAAAGCTGCATTTATAAGATCAACTCTTCTCCTTACGGTGGCCATAACTTCTAACTCTCTAATTGCTTGCCATTTCTGAAACAGAAGCGGCCCATTGCGAGCACACCCAACTTACTAGAGGACCTTTTGGAGAAGCAGAGAGCGTACTTTGCAGACATCGACGCCTTTGAGCTGGTAGAGGAAGAGGCGTCGGAATCCGAGCTGGAGTAAAAACTGAAGCTGATCCCAGAAGACAAGGCCCTTATTTTTTTTCTTGGGGTACAGAAGTAGTTTACTGGAATCACATTTACCATGCGATGCAGCAGCGAAGTATGGTAGCAATGTATAGCTAGCTCTACTTGTAACACGGGGGCAGACTGGTGTACCTTGGTGCAGTGATCACCGGTGAATGAATGTCTCGATAGGCCACTGATGTTCCTAGCAAAGCTTCTAGTTGCAGCATAGTAGTAAGGCATATATAGTGAGATGAGATCTCAGGATTAGGGAGGCTCTCTACTGTATGAGAAAATGAGGTTGTAGTTAAGACAGCACTAATCGCTCGATGTTTGTCTGTTTGGAACTAGTTGTTTTGCATTGCTTTGTTAATCCTGGAGTTGGGGGTGAGGTTGTGTTGGCAAAGCCATTACAAATGTGTGTTACGGAAGATGTCAGTATGGATGGTGCTGGGTTGGGTGTGGAATGAACGTGGAAGCAATGAGCATCTCTTTGCTTCTCTGTATAAGGCCCTGTTTGACAGGGCTTTACTTTATTAGTGAAGCCATTTTTTTTTTTTTTGCTTCAGCTCCACGAACAGTTCCACCGGTGGAGCTGAAGCGGTTTTGATAAACCGTTTGGTAAAATGGCTTCTCTGTGAGAGCATGTTTTTAGGGGCCTAGAGGAGAAGCCGGGAGAAACTATTTTTTTTTGCTCCATTCCACCCCAAATCATTGTGAGAGCATGTTTTTAGGGGCTTCACCAGTGAAGTTATTTCACTTTATCCCGTTTGGCTCCAAACGGCTCCTGAAGCTGGTGGAGAAGCCCTGCCAAACGGGGCCTAAGTTTCCAGCTCCACAGCATGTTGGTCGGCTGGCCGCCACTTGAGGAACCGAGGATTATTACTGCTGGCTGGTTTGGTATGAAAGAAAAATACTATTCTAGCTTATAATCCACGATCGTTTACGACCAAACGAACAGACTTCCCAGCCACTTGTTCCTGTTGGCTCTTTTTGTCAAGCCGTGCCATACTGCCCCTGCAACTGAGCAGAAGATTCAGAGCTGCTGCTCCTTGTTTCTTTCTTTCTTTTTTCTTTTATCTTGCTACAGTTGCTTGGGCTCAACTCCCGTTCGATCTAACAGGCGAGCAGCGAGCGATTTTGCAGGAATGGTGTTCATGTCTCACTCATATGGGATCTACAACCACTCCTGGCTTTTCGACCATCATTCGCCAAAACTGTTCTTGATGCTTTGCTTGTCAGGTCCAGGCCAAGTCAGTTCTCTACACTCTACTCAGCAGAAATTTATTACTATGCGGATCAATCTTCAATGCCATGCGATAACTCTTTCTTTTTTTTCCCTACTGTAAGTTAGAAACTCAGCATGTGCAAATATTCTGCCTATAAATATATCTGCACAAATTGACACTGTCGAACACATCGCTCTAAAGCCCTGAGCAAAATGGCCTCCCATAAACCCCTCACTTGCAGTGCCTTGGCCCTGTTCTTTGCTGCAGGCTTGGTTTCAGCTCAGCTTACAGCAAATTTCTATGACAAGTAAGGCCAAATGCATTGTACACCATCCAAACAGCAGTAAGATCTGCTGCTGCCAGGGAGAACCGCATAGGCACATTATTGCTCCGTCTCCAATTCCACGACTGCTTTGTTAATGCAAGTGTCCCAAATCTGCACATATGTGTCATACTTCACATTTTCTAGATTAATTAGTAACCATGGAAATCCTAACCATGCAGGGTTGTGGTGGCTCGGTGCTGCTTGATGACACCCCAACCTTTACAGTGGAGAAGACCGCTGTTCCAAACAACAACTCCCTGCGTGGATTTGATGTGATCGACAGCATCAAGGCACAGCTTGAGGGGATCTGCCCACAGGTGGTATCATGTGCTGACATCCTCGCTGTGGCAGCACGTGATTCTGTTGTCACAGTAAGACAAAACACAAGGAACATTCAAATTAGAGATAACAAATTGAAATATAAAAATGGTTATGATTGTGAACTAGTAAGTGTTGATCCAATACTTCAACTGAAATGAGGATGAAAAGAACTCTTTATGGTTAAACTGAACAACTAAATCAACAATCATGTTCAAATATTCTATAGCAACTGAACAACTAGTAAGTGTATTTCATGCATTCCAAAAGAAACAAACAATTGTAGAAGTTGACAATTTTTATTTCAGCTTGGAGGACCAACTTGGGCTGCAATCTGGGACTGCGTGACTCAACAACAGCAAGCCTAGATGCTGCAAACAGACATCCCTGCACCAACCCTTGACCTCAGTGACCTCACCAAGCCCTTCTCAAACAAAAGGATTGAGTGCAACTGACATGATTGCACTCTCAGGTACTGCAATATTGTAAATTTCCTCATCAACTAAATCATAGTCCATGCTACACTCGTTCACTGAACAGTTGAATACCAGTTATACTATTACTAAATATTGACGGATATGGAGAAAAAAAATGCCAGGAGGTCACACCATTGGGCAAGCAAGATGTGCTAACTTCCGTAACCGCATATACTGTGAAACTAACATCGATACATCCCTTGCAACATCACTGAAATCAAATTGTCTGAACAAGACTGGTGACAATAAAATCTGCCCCCTTGACGCCTCAACACCCTATGTTTTTGACAATTTCTACTACAAGAACTTGTTGAACAAGAAGGGTGTTCTGCATTCTGACCAACAACTGTTCAATGGAGGCTCAGCAGATTCCCAGACTACCACCTACTCTTCAAAGATGGCCAAATTCTCCACCGATTTCAGTGCAGCAATGGTGAAGATGAGCAACATTAGCCCCCTTACTGGATCCAGTGGACAGATAAGGAAAAACTTCAGGAAGGTAAACTAGGACCATGTAATCTTGATTGAACGGAGAAGTGTTCCTTTTTTCAAACTGAGTCCTCCCCAAAAGATGTACCCACAACTTTTCAAAGCATATATGTGAAAGGAATAAAATGACATGAAGAATGTTTTTAATCAGTGTTTGGGTATGCCTCTTACCTAGCTTCTGAACTTAGTCACTTTCACTTACAACCGAATTGATAAACATTGTTTCAATAATGGGACAAGAATTAATGCCACTAGGATGACTCGCTTAGATAGAGTGTATGCATTTAAATCATATCTTTAGAACTTTGAAATTCAAGCAAACAGTGATGGTACTCAGTAATATAATATGAAACTGCAAATTTTGTACAACGAGAACAGGAAGTTCTATACAAGTGGGTTAATAGCCCACACAATTCCAATCAGAGGATAAAACAATAGAAAATTTCCTAACATTGTGATTGCAGGCAGAATCATCACTGATGAATGTTTCGTATGGCTACATTGATACTTTTACAGTCAAAGTCCATGATCTTCATCCAGTTCTCGAAATCTCCAATTTCCTACATACATAACAATAAAAAAAAGGATTCTTCAGCAGAAACAAATAGCGCATGATTTGGATTGAATTTTCCTGTGAAAAAAAAAATCATCCAATACAAAAGGTAAAGCATCCAGTGTTCTAGTTTTTCTTGTCAGAGAACAGAAGATGAGTGAACTCATTTTTCTAATCAGTGTAGCAAGATTCATATTTCGGTTTCACCATGTGAATTGAAGGGGGATGTGAGTGGGCATGGCATCAGCATATCACTGTTAGTCACCTTCAAGACTGCGTTGATCTCGTTAGTGGCAGCGAGCCACTGATCCGTCTGCTTCCTGTAGCGCGCGATGGTACCGAGCAGCGCGCGGGCCTCAAGCTCAACGCGCTTCTCGTTGACGAAGAGCTCCTGCACCCCGCCGTCGACCGTGGCCACAAGCAGATCCGCGACCCGCACCGCGCTTCTCAAAGCATCCTTCTTCGCTCTCTCTGCGTGTGCGTGCGCGTGGAGCGAGATCGGGTCACCAAATTTGGTTTGTTCTATCACATGGGCAGGCTGCTGTGCAGAAGGCAGAAATCAAAAGCAATGGCGGGCTGGCGGCGTACCAGTTTGCTGGCGTTGGCGGAGGGATTGGTGGTGGTGCTGATGCACGATCTGGAGCAGCGCGCCTTCCAGCTCCTGCTTCCCGCCCGCCACTGGCTTGGCCCCGTCCATCCCGTCCGGTTCGCCGCCGGTCGCCGGAGCAATTCCCCACTTTCTTTTCGTTTTTCTGGGAAGGGAGAGAAACCAGCGGAGACAAAGACAATTCCTCTGCATTGCGATGAGTTAGCCAATGAATGGGCCACGGCCCAGGTAATAATCTCCTAAAGGCTCCCCGAGAAAACGAAAGAAGCTGATCAGGATTAGACGGCCCGCTAAGTTCGAGGCCCAGCCCTCCTCCATATTATATCCTCGTAATATCCGGATTAGCCCGGCACGGTGGCAGAATGGCAGTTTCACTCGTTGGAGCGGACAATACGTGATACCTCGTAAACATAACAAATATATACAATAAATATATGTCTCAATATCTTTTCAATGCTTTTACATATATATTTAGTACTCATAACGAAAAAGCATAAGTAATACTGACAGATCTGCTCATGGACTTTGAATCTGTTGCCAGTTTTTGGGTGGCTAATAAAAAAACACAGTGACTAATATAGTTTCTTAATGATGGAAATTACGGAATGAGATTTGTTTTCAGGGGATGAAATGGCTGGGCGTGAGAGGATCGTCACGATGTTAAGAAGATGGGTGCCCAAGCTGCAACCAGAGATGGAAGGTAGAATCACTGGTAGAGAACCGAGCTTTACTTCCGGTGGGGAACCTCCTCTAGTCCCGGTTCCCCACCCGGGAGCAAGCATCCGGGACTAAAGGGGGTCCTTTAGTCCCGGGTCAGGAACCGGGACTAAAGGAGGACCTTTAGTTCCGGTGGGTAACATCAACCGGGACTAAAGGGGCCTCCTGACATGCCACGATGGCCGGCACCTTTAGTCCCGGTTGGTAATACGAACCGGGACTAAAGGTTTTTTTTCTTTTTTCTTTTCTTTTCATTTTTTTGTTTTCTTTTCAAAATAGGTTTTCGAAATCGTATTGTACGCTGCTAATTATACATTTATACGCGCATATAGTATGTTTCGGTTCAAGCACAATGAACGTATTAAATCACACAATTCAAGCATAGAAATATATATATATATATATATATATATATATATATATATATGAATGCATGCATCATATATATATTTACATGCATGCATGCATATGTGTATTTTACATTATATTATTTCATGTGCATATATTACAAAAGATTGCATTACAGTTGTTGTGACATAACAAGTTTCCTCTCATCCTCTAGCTTGGCTTCAATGGCAGTGTTGGGTCGAAGTAGAACTCGCCCTTGGAATCGATGACCTGCTCATTAAAAAATCCGGCTATAGACTCTTGAATTGCTTTGATTTGGTCTTGCCGTATGACCTTTTCCTCCAACCATCGAGTCTACAGGTTTGAATTAAAGGAAAATAAATTAATATATGTACATATATATATATAAAGACATAGTAACACAATCAATAATAATAATTAAATGAATATATAGTGTATTTTTAACGTACTTTGAGTCTCTCTGTAGGAGTTCTTTGGGAGAGCACCTTGATAAACTTGCAAACATAGTAACCACAGTAGTTGTTCCCCTGTTCCTGCCTTAGACACCACTTTACGAGAAAAAGATTTGTCATCCAATCTGGTGATCCGGTGAAAGCTATATGTTTAATTAATAAAGATGATGCGATTCAGGGGACTTACTTTCAAAGGGATTACATTCAGTGGCGCTTTGCATTTTTCCATGTGTTGCTTCTCAATAAAGGTTTTCCAAACACTGCCCAATAAAAAATTTGTCACGTCATCAGATATAGTTAATCATCATGTTTGTGTGTATATATAGTTGCTAGAGATCCCAAAATTACCTCTGGATAATATCTATCATATCTTGGTAGTCTTGTTGTGGTTTTCTCATCGAGTCATAGATTATCAAGTGACTTTTCACCAGATCGATGTCCATCAATATCCAGTGATTGCTGCATGTGTTTATAGGATATAACGCATAACACTCATTAATTAACTAGAATCAACATATGAGCCATTAAGGATATGATCGACATGATTAACACTCACTTGAAGTTATAGGGAAAGAGTATATCCTTCTTGTGGCGTTGGTTCACTAAGAAGTTCATGAGGTTACTCTCTGACTCAGACTTCCAATTAGTCTTTGGAGTAATTGGGTCTTCGAATACTATATGGGGATCAACAAAACCAATTTCATTGCAGCCTTCCTTTCTGAGCTCTGTCATTGTAAATCTGCATATATATAGTACTTGTTAGGATAATTTATATGCATATACACACATATGATGAGTTTAATAATAGATCGAAAGAATTATTACTTACAGGCAATAGCAGCTAATGATAACTTTGTCCAGAGAGGTCAGGTGGCATAGTTGATGAAATTCTGCAAAGTCAACATACATAACATCATCGCCACGGAACCAATGTTCGCCTCTAATTCGACACCAACGCAGAAGTCTCCATTGGTAGACGCCTTTGCATGTACCACTTGTTTAGCGGTACATTTAAGTCCCCGCATCGAGATAAGGCTTGAGGGTTGTATAGACTCGGCCTAGTACAAATTTTTTCTTCCAAATATCAACCTCCGTCGCGACTCTCAATGTTTCCATCACCAAACATCTGGTAAAGGTCGAGACCAGTCTCATCAAGAAATTCACCAAGGTGATCCAAATCGACATCCGGAGGTATGTTTGCCTGATGCATTAATCCTAAATTCGAACCATATTCATTACCAACAACTAGCGGGGGGATTGATTGGTGCGCTTGTTGTCCGAGTTGGGCAATGCCTTTCCCTGCCCGCTTCTTTTTCTGTGCCGCCTCAATTGACTTGGTGAGAGTGCGGTCATAGTCCGATAAACGTTGATTTGGACGACTTACGAGATTCCCATTGTTGTTCTTTGGTAAGAAGTCACCTTTTTCTTAGAATATCTGGAGCTACTGAAGAAGTACGGTTTCTTGGGTTTCTCCTTGCTTCTTGATTCATTTTAAGTTTGTCATAGAATCTAGACATGTCTTTTTTATATGCATCAGTTCCTTCTTCCTTCTCTTGAGATATTATTTTGGGAATAGCCCTTGGTTTCACGGTGGCTTTCTTTGCGGTGGGGACCGGGTTCTTCGTTTGAGGGGTTGGCCTCTTGCTAGGCTTCTTGGTAGGCGGGGCGGGGGGGGCGTTGAGACCTCCTTGGAGGTGTTGGCGTGGCGTTGGAGACCTCCTTGGAGGTGGCGGGCTGCATGGCGTTGGAGACCTCCTTGGAGATGGTGTAGATGCAGCCTCGTCTTCCAACATAATGTCATCGTCTTCGAGCACTATGATGATCTGGCGATTGAACAATTGGATTTAGGTTGGGGAGGATCTGCTACTAAAAAAAAGGAATGACATATTATTATGAGCAGATTGTTAATTATTTAAGCCAATACAAATTAATGATGTAGTGTTTTCATCCGCACGCACTCTATGGTGAGGTAGTTCAGAGGAGGTGGAGCCGACATCCTGGAATGATGATGTAGCGCTTATGCCCATAGAATGAATGTCTTCTCCGCTTCTCCTAGAGTCTTCTCGCCATCACCTCCGTGGAATGTCAAGAGGCAAATCACTAAAACCTTTTTCAGCTTTATCTACCGAGATGGTAGCATATTCTTCTTGGATTATATTCCCATGAATCCTTGGTGTCTTGGTTCGGTCGATAGGATTAACAAGACCGATAGCCACCTTGATTGTAGAATTCTCCTTCGGAATGTGTAGCTCACACGTTGTACAAGGTTCAGTGACGTCATCCACAGGGAAGCGTAGTCCTGTGTCTCCTTGATTTGGTAT